GCCCCTGTAGCGTCCTTGCTCCTAGTAGCGATGCCAGGAGCCCCTAGCAGCGTCCTTGCTCCTAGTAGCGATGCCAGGAGCCCCTAGTAGCGTCTTTGTTCTATGTCACTGATATCACAGTGAGTTCTTCCGCCTTTTGGATCCCTCGCCTGAAGGTTTGCTTTGGAGCGCATTGTCGGACATGAGCGAGCAAAGAACATGTGGGTAACTCAATGCTCGGAAACCGTTGAACTTTTTTTCATCAGTGCCTGTATACAGTCTAAGTCGGTTTTGAGTGAAGGGTTTTCGGGAATGGACTACAGTATATATAATTAGGTAAATGAAACTCACGATATAGTCAGTGAGGAACGAGTTTGAAGACCAACCGTCTCAGCTGAGTGCATGGCAAGGGATTTTCCACAATCCACGAATCCATGGAAGGGCATGAGTGGCAAAAGAGGTGTTGCAAGACTTTTGAAGTCTGAGGTTGACTTCAGAACACGGTAAGGTCTTCGCAGCAGCCCTGGTCCTTTGCGATTGCATAGAGCTAAAGATGTTATTACAACTCTCAGATGTGATTTGGTGATTCACGCTAAACGGTTAGCAAGGCAGACACTTGGCATCAGGCAGAGAAGCAATCAACTGTAAACTTCAGATAAAGCCTTAGTCTCCTCAATCACTCCTGAAACACAAAACAAACCAAGGTCTTCTCGTAAGGCTCTCGGATCATCTCCCAAGGAGAATGACCCACCGACTGTCCTGGGAAGAAAGAGCCGGCCTTCAGTTCAGTTTTGAACCTTGCGTGCATGTTTCACGCTGCTGCCCCGCAAAGCTTCGGCAAAGCTTCAAGGAAGATACTGAATGAACATGCAACAAAACCCCACCACTTCGCATTTAGCCTACTCCAAACACCTCATATTTGTTGATGCAAATGATCCTTTGCCATGTGGCCAGCTGGTGTCTTACGACACAAGGCGTGGAGACAATGTCCGTGTTTGACCAGCCTGTTTCATGATGACTTCGACTATATATTGGTGGATGTGCAAATCTCCTTTCTGTATAGCTCTCTCCTGTGGGATGAGGTGCATTCCGAGAAATTGTAAACCACAGACAATATCCTGTGCTTGTCACTGTCGTGTCAGACGCGGTCCAGAAACGTTCCAATGGTCGAGATAGACTTAGCGCTCCAAGCTCCTTGGCCACAAAGGTATGAAGGAGCAAGTTTTCTTTTTTAAGAAATTGCACCGATAGCAAGCACAAAAAAGTCAGCCGATAAGCTAACTGAGTAGCAAGGGTTACTGTAAATAGCATGGACAGCAGTTTCGATCTTGTGGATTTTTAATGATGTCGAGGATGCTCAGCTGTAATCGTTACATCATTTGCATTTAAGTACACTTGATGGATGGATTGATACAAGGGCTAGAGTTAGATGGATTGTATGTAGTAGATGTGGTGACAAGTAGATGTGGATAGAGGTGTCTTTTGTGCGAATAGGGATGGCCATGAATGGGTGTGTGGAGAGGTGGCTGGATAAAAGGAGAGAGACTTAGAGAGATAGCAAGATGGAGAGATAGAGAGACGGGGAAAGGAGTAGTGGATGGAGGCCGATGGATAGATAGACAGATGGATAGCTAGATAGATGGTTAGATAGACAGATAGATAGAGATCCTTCCACAATGAGTTCTATTCAATCATGATCAGTAGATGTTGATAGATGTGTGTAGAGTGTAAATATGTCAATTGATGGCTATGAATGGTTGAGTGGATTGGTGGCTGGATGCCCTGGCTTTCATTTCGCGCTCTCTCTTCTTTTAGTTGCTAGCTGACAATTCTACGGAAATTCGAACGTTCAGAAGGGATAAGACAAGAAGTTGGTGCTTGGATTGGATAGAGCCTGAAAAGATTTCAAAGGGTTTTTCCACCAAGGGTGCCACTGGCCCCAGCAGAGCAGATTGGACGACCTTAGAGGCACCCGTGGTGTTGTCGACCACCTTGTCTCCGGGCCAGTCCTTTGGATGGAAGCGCCTGGCAGTTTCAGAGGACTGCTCTGGAATGTGAAAAGACTTGACAGTCGGACTGGCTCATAGAAAGATTTCAATCAGAACTGATGACTTGTGACTAATGTGTAAGGGACGAGCAAGCTGAAACCATCCTCGCAAGATCTTGCCAGCTTTGATTAAACTAATCATTGAGAATTCAGAATACAATAAACTGTGGTTGCCAGGATGTCAACACATTCTGTCAGTAGCTGCATTCTCGGTATTGTTTTTCCTGAAGCATTTACTGAAAGCCCCATGAATGAACCACACTGAATCTCGCACGGAATGGGAAGGCAGCGGGTTTGACTAGCTTGAATATTTGGTAACCACCTCCGACACAATCATCGCACAAAAACGAACAGAATTTGCATCGGCATCTATGGACCTCGCGCGATTAACCAGTGGTGAGTACTTTGCGTGATATTGATGTGTTTTGGATATTCCGACCGATGGCAAGCAAGCATGCTCTTTCACCTGACTGGCGCCCACTTTGTATGTTTATGCTGGGTAGTAAGAAAGCGAATCAACGCTGATGTGCAAAGGCTGTTGGGGCGCCAGGGCTGGGAGACAAAGGCGCTGACCACAACGAGTAGAGAGGTGCCAATGAAAGGCAGGGTCAAGGATAAGTTATTGAAATTGAAATGCACTAGCTGGGCGCAAAGCGCTGACTTTCAGGTCCTGTGATGAGGTGTGAGCGACGCTGATACTATATGTAGGAGAAAAAGGTTGCGTTGGAAAGCCAATTGAAATTGCTGAGCCAGACAGCCCGAGGATGTGTAAACAGAGAAACAATGAGAAACACGTGAAGTTGGCTTTGTAACCCAGTTCACCCAAATAGAGCAAGTACAGTGCCATACAGGACATGTGTTTGGGGAACCTCCAGACCGTTGTCCTTTAGTCTTTTGCACAGGAAGCTTACTTGGGCGTGATGGGCAACTCCGTAGTGCTTTTCGTCCAAAGTGAGAAAAGCATTCGGTGGTGCACGTTGGCAGGCTCGGACTACAGCCTGAGAATTTGTCAAGGAATTGGTGTTCGTTTGACATGAAGATCTGATCTATACATTCAGGTCCTGGCGTAACATGTCAAAGGGTGAGAAGTTTCCTTGGTTTGGACGCCTGCCGCTCAGGGTTGAGGTTTGCCCAAGCTTACATCGCTGGCATTACTACTAGGAACAAGAAGCTACAAGTAACCTGTGGGGAACTCATTGGATCCTTGCGATCCTGTGAGGATGGCCCTCTGCAAGATTTGCGCAGTGCTTGGGCCAAGAGCTGCACACGGTTGGCCCAAGTTGCTGAGTTCGCTGCTTAAGTGCGAGCCCAAACACTGGAAGAACGATAAACGCGAGAATAGAAATTCTGCAACGTGTTTGCCACGCGCTTCTTTCCTTCGAGCCGCGGTTGGTTTGAAGCTTCAGTGCATAAACCGCCCTCAGGTGCTTGCCTGGACTTTGCGTTTTGCAACAGGACTTGGTGGAGACCATTTTCGGATTCATTTGCTCGCAGAACAACAATGTGTCAGCGGCTAAGCCTAAAAATCATGACAGGATGAGCAAGAGGGTTTTTTGGAATTCCTACCAACTGTGTGCTCGCAACTAACTGTGTTGGATAGTTTTCATCATGAAAGCAATTGAGGAGAATTGAGGCTAAGTTTGTCATTTCATGATATTTCTACACTAATATTCTCAAATGTGTGTGCTCTTGAATCCTATGCAGAGAAACGAAAGGGTTGAAACTTTGAGCAAGTTCCTGCCCGTCGCCCTCATACAAGTTTTGACTGAAGAGCTCCTGCAGGTCACGGATTTGCTTACTCATGGATCGCCTTCGTGCAACTTATGGTGAATTGCTTTGTTCCATAGCACCTGGTGTTGATGCTGAAGGTGATGGAGGCGAGGTTGCTGTCAACTCTCAGATGTGATTTGGTCTCAGATGATCAGCTTTATTTCATTGCAATTGAAAGCATAGACGAGTTGTGTGCTGTGGTGATATTGGAGAGAGACAGCAGCCAAGTATTGAACCCTAAAGAATGGACCAAATCTCTTTTTTTCAGTGGATGTGGTTTTGGTGTGAAACGAAGGTTACCGGTTACCACAAAAGGCATTGTTTCAAGAATGCTACAGTCAGACAGGAACCCATAGTCAGCCGACACTTAGTTGCAAGCACGTTGCCAGATCTTGCAGTGTTGCGAGAGTTCAATGTGCAGCGCAAACTTTATGCCTTTCCGAGCGTTGCACGACTTGCAGCTGCTTCAGAACCTGGGACACCAACGGTATTCGATCCTTTTTGAGATAAGCAGAGAGTTGAAAGATTAGGTATATATATATATATACAAATTGACTTGGTAAAATGGAAGAGTCGAAGAGAACAGTAAGTTTAAGATGGTCATACAAACTGCGTTTTCAATACCGAGATTTCAAAGGAGAGCTCCCTGAAAGCGCTGGGCTTGGGCTATCGAGCAGTGGGGGTGGCCCAGTTGTTCGCGACGTTTCCTTGCGAGGATCAAGTGGCCTGTGTCGATCATCTCTTGATTTTTTGTTTATGTTTAGAAGTCCTAGTTTGAGGCCAAAAGGCCAAAAGCGGATAATGCTATCAAGTCAAGCTTCATACGATCTAGCGATTTGTTGTCCACAAGTCCCCGTAATGTGGAATTCCATAGCTGTGAGGCTTATGTCCGTTCAGCCGCAAAGATGCTCCTACAGAAGGAGAGCTGCATTCGTGTTGCAGATTTAACTCGAACAAGTGAAGATGATCAGGATGGATGCATGCTGAAATGGCTTGAGCAGTCCAGAGATAGGCGACCTGAGTGAAGCATCTAAGTTTAATGGTCTTGGTTTAATGGTACTGGCGCTGCTTAATGGTGTGAGCGAAGCAATGCACCTCAAATATTGGCTGCAAAGGATGCTTCTTCCCACAGTTTTGGACGTCTTGTGTCTGATTTACTGAGACACTACACTCCAGAGTACACTGTCCGAAGAAGGGTTCCGAAGAAATCCGGCGACCGGACTTTCAAGCAATCCAAGAGTATGGGTCTATATTTGGGGATGTCTGGGTAGAGACGCTGGCCAGTGTATTTGGATGTAGGGTGATGTGTGTGTGTGTGTGTCCACCCCTGGACAAAGGGTTTCTTTCGGCAGATCCACCTTCCATTGGTTCTCACTAGCAGGGGCACTGAGCACTCCTTGGCAAACTCAGTGCAACGAAGCTATGCCTTGGAGTGGGAAGCACGGATTGATCACCCGTGTGTACCTGCGTGATATTTTCCACAAGCTGTGACTCCACTCTTTCCCTTGTTGGTTTCCATGGTGGTTCATGTTCTCCTCCCTTATGTTTCTTTGGGAAAGCATTCTCTGAACTTACCACCGCTCACAGGACTTTCACTGGAACTCATCTACACTCCCACAGAATCAACAGCTACCATGGCCGCCGGGCCTTACCACGGGACCTGACCGTTTCAACATGCATCGTTTTTGTGCATCTCAATGCAATTTTCCGCCTGTTTTCTGCATGAGCGCTCAAGCGATCCGACTTGATTTTCAAACTTTTTAATTCAATATGCATGAACACACTAACACTCACTACACTCTACAGGCAGACAACTCTCACTACTTCACACCTACAGTGAATAACCATCAACACAAGCATTACTACCTCTAACTCACACGATTCCAACACTCGCAGTTTCAGCTGCCGCGCCGCGCCATTTTGAAGCTTTTGCTGCACAGCCGTGCCGATCTTCACCAACCTTTTATTGGACACATCATGCAGTACCCCTGGCCCTATCCACAAGCCATGCCACCTCCACTACCCGTTCCATCAGCACAACCACCGCCACAACAGACAGCACCTTTGCCACAGCCGCATGCCACACCAGCATTTCCTTACCCACAACCTCCACCATACCCTGTACCGCAACATCAGACACTTCCAGCTCCTCACCCGATGTCGATCCCCACTCCACTTCCCTGTCACTCAGCACCGGCAGTGGCCCCTCCTTTTGGCAATCCCACCACATGGACGATGGTAACCCCTTCTCAACCACAATTCAAGCTGCCACAACCCACGTGCCAACCACCGGCACCACCCCCGTCCTACCTTGTGCAACAACTGCACCAGTCCCCCTCCACAGATCAAGCCACCGCTACACCAATTCAACCTGCCCCACCACCTCAGCCAATGCTCTCACCTACCACTACAATTGAACCCCAATGGCACATGCCACAAGGGGTCTGGCAGCCTTATTCAGCTTTTCCTCCGGTTACACAACCTGTGCATTCACCTCCACCACAACCCCAATTGGCTCTCAGTGACTCACCGCAGATTCCACCACCACACCAGTCACTGGATCCAGCCACCACAGCACCCAATCAACCAGCCACTGCCACCGTTTCACTACCTTCTCCATCACCTTCCATCGCATCGGCCCCACCCACCTCAGTGGCCCCAGAACCCATCACTAACATACCAGACAACACAGCTTCACCCATGCCACCATCTCCACATCCACATCACAGCAGTCGTCGCCACCACCACCGAAGCCGGCGCAAGAGCGACCATCACAGAAGTGGCCGGCACAGACACCGCCGCCGCCGGCGACATCGCCATCACTCCAAATCCACTAGACATCACACTTCCTCTCGGCGACATCGCTCGCCGACCACATCCACTTACTCTTACTCATCCACACATTCCCGCAGCCGCTCCAGACAACCCATTGATCTACGCCCTAATACCGATGCCTCCACAGCAGACAACACTAACACGGACACTTCCAGATTTCCACCAACGATCCGTCGACCACCCAACCGATGGCGACCTACACCAACTTTTTCAACTCTACCACCAAAAGAGCAGATTCTTGCCTGGCTCGATTTCCACGCCGACCAGCTCGAAGCCTCCAACCGCCCTCAACACCAATACCTTGCCAATCTCCTGTTTGACAGCAACATCACGTACAAAGAGCTCAACGATTTTCGCCAATACACTTATGTCAAGTGGAATGAAACCACCCAGCAATGGGATCATTTCCAATACCACGCCATCTCACTCCCTTTCCTCCACACCAAAGCCACCCACCCCACACCACCACCCGTCTCCCGTGCCACCTCCACCCACAGGGAAGTTGCGCACATCAATGCCGGCCACACAGGCCCTGTTGGCAATATCACAAACATTCTACGCCAAGGCCGCTTCCTCCCGAGCACACTCCACTTTGCCAACTACCCTGGCTTCTTTGCCCAGGGCGTACGAATCACCCACGACCCCAACCACGATCATGGCGAATTTGCCCGCATTATTCACAACACCTGGCAACTCGCCAAAAACACCCATTCCCTCATCCTCACGCTTCTTGCGTGGGGCGCCGCCACCAAATACACCTCTGGCGGTGAGGAATACGCCATGACCCTGCTGAACGAGCACCACGGAGCTGTCTTTCACCAGAAAGGCAAATGCTGAGTCATCCACCCAGACCATGCCATCGTCAAAGGACTGGCCTGGTCCATCAAGTCTACTCCACCGGATCCATGACCTTTCCACTGTCCACTACCACGCAACCACCACTCCCAACTTTTGTTTCACCTGACCAGACTCAACTTCGTCACCAGCAGCAAAACACTACTTGCGTTTGTGCAGCGGCTTCATAGCTTCATTTTGCATGAATCATGTGTCACATGCCCACCTCACTTTCACGCCGAAGAGTTTGTGAGGGAACTACCACTCTTTCTAGTTGCATTTGATTCTTGAATTCAATGTATGTGCTTTTCGGCCCGTGTGCTTTGTAATTCACTTGCATGTCTCCGTGCTGTTGCGCTGAACATGCCAGCTGCCGTGCAGCCGATCGCCACGCCGCATCCAGACTCCACGCTATCCGCAAGTACACCTTTCCACCCTCCAGCGCTGAAGTTGCTGCCGCCGAGCTAGTGAGGCTCTATGTCCAAAAAGGACACAACCACCAAGCCTGTCACCGGTTTTTGAAAAAAAGCGCCGACGACGGCGACCTGTGTGTGTCCACCCCTGGACAAAGGGTTTCTTTCGGCAGATCCACCTTCCATTGGTTCTCACTAGCAGGGGCACTGAGCACTCCTTGGCAAACTCAGTGCAACGAAGCTATGCCTTGGAGTGGGAAGCACGGATTGATCACCCGTGTGTACCTGCGTGATTTTTTCCACAAGCTGTGACTCCACTCTTTCCCTTGTTGGTTTCCATGGTGGTTCATGTTCTCCTCCCTTAAACCCACTCTTCCCCAGCTACTGAGCCGCCGTTTCGATCGTCATGCAGCCTGTCTCAACAATGTTCAACAATACTTTTCAACGGACTTTGCCACCTTGCTGTTCCCTCGCCTTCCTTCTCCAGGTGGGAATTGAGATAACAGAATGCAATTGTCAGAGTGTGTGTAATCTTCAAAGTGGTCGAAGCACTTGAACCCTGCCAGCATTGACCTCTCCGGCATCGACCCGCTTCAGACTGAAGAGCACCTTGTCCTTTCGTTCGCTGTTTACAAAATGATTGGACTAGTGAGAAAGGAATGTAAGGCCGGAGGGGATGCGGCAACGGCGTTTGGAAGTGCGGAAGGAGCTCTGTGGCTCGGCAATGCCAGGAATTGTATGAAACTCACACAGCCACAGTGCAAGTTTGTGCTGTCCAAACTTGAAACCCTTTAAACAAGTCAAGAAAGGAAGCCGCTTGAAGTACTCACTCATTGTTTAGCCTTGGTAGGATGCCCCCACAATGAGGCCGCTTACCAGGAGTCGGTCCCAAAGTGGCTGACTGTATTGCCTTGTTTGCAATGAAGCAGCATGGATCAGTTCCAGTGGATACTTGGAAGCAGATCAAAAAAGAGTAGAACTCATCTAGAATACCTTGTGCCAATGTCCCATGGCTTTGTCCATTCTGGCACTGAGTCTAGGATGTTCACATCTGGCAGATTGTGACCAGGGATTACGAGCCTGAGCTACGAGAGGAGAGAGCAAGAATGTCAATGGCTCACTGGGTAGTAAGTACGAATAAAGTATTTGGTCCAAGTGCAGTCAAGAAATATATGAAGCGATCGTCAGCATCAAAGGCTCCAAGTTTTAGCAAATGAAATGTTGGGGGCCATCGCTATTAGAGGTTGGAGGCCATTGCTTTTATGTTGGAGGCCGTCGCTATTAGGTTGTCGGCTATAGCTTCAATTCACTATAGCATCGTCAGGCCAAGTCTTTGACCCCTCTGGTTTACGAGCGGGTGGGCAATGCCTTCCGCCACCGCTTTGGTAGCTTGGCGTGGTGGTGGTGGTGGTGGTGGGTGAGAAATGTGAGAAGTGTGAGAAAGGTGAACTTGACACGTTTTCATTTGGGTGTCCTTTTCTGGTACACTTTGTGCGTGAGGTGTTTCCCAAGTCCGAGGCGCACCATTTGCTGGCTGGGCACATTCCTTGCTCTTCGGTGCTGAGTTTGGTGCTTTGCGAGCACAACTCCCGACACAGATGTTGAAGGCTTACAATATGTTTGGTTGGACAGAGCCTTGTTTGACCTGGCTTCTCTCTGAAGGAGATGGATGCTTATCGAGAAGAGATAAAGGCTCAGAAGTTGAAAAAAAGGACAGCCTCCTAGAAAAATATGTTCAATTCACAGATCGAAGAATTGCGGCGCATTGGGCGATCAGGAAAGCTTTGAGAAAGTCGGAAGCTGGGCTTAAGGCTTAAGTCAACATGTGTGGCGGCGAATGAAATGTACTGTGCAATATTCTTTGTTTTGCTATTCGATTTTAGAAGAAGGAAGCCAAGCTGAGGACAAGACTGGGCCAGGCCCGGAGTATTCTTTTCTCTCAAAAATCTGGGATTGGCACTGTGCTCAAACGTTCAATGACAAACGACATTCGAATTGCAGGAAATTCCAAGGAAAGAGATCGATTGAAGATGAAACGACCTAATACCAATAGGGATATATCAAAAACTTAAGAAATAACAATTTGGCACAATTTCACAATATCTATTCCATTAATCATAATTGGGAGTTGATCGAAAACCCCATGTAAGGAGTTTTATATAAAACAGCCTTTCAGATGTTGTTAGAACCATCCGCGAAAGATTCGCGATGAGGTTCGCGAAAGTATCTGTTTTTTCCGCGAAAGGTTTATCGAAGGTCATCGCTTTCATTGTTTTCCTTTCTACCGGACTGACAAAGAATAGAAACGCAAGGCAATCCTCCGGCAGAGCCAGTGGGCGAAGTGTCCCCATGTCACAGACTAACGAACTGAAGCCTCAACCTTTCCGTGCCCAGCCCTGGCAGCGCGTAAAGGATTCTCCGATTCCTGTCCCCACTGTCACATACTAGCAAGCTGGGTAGGCGCAGCCCTGACAGTGAGGCAACGACCTGCCGCTGCTCTGACTCGCTGTGCAGATGTTTGCAAATGTTACGGCGTCCCGGGAAAGCACCAGTGAAATTTCGCGAAGGATCCGCGAAAGTTTCGCGAATGTGCCGCTAAAGTCTAGGTTCCCAGCTTGAGGCCCCAAACATTCCCCAAGCTGCATCACCCTGTGTTGGTAGCTGACACGAGGATTGGGTTGAGTTGTGCCTGACTCTATTTGGCACAATTGTCGCACAGATGCTGCAAGTGACCCTGAGTAGCTGTGGAAACGTTCAACCATCTACTGGGGTCATGCTGCAAGATGTCTCTCCCTATTATGACATGTTCCGGCTCATGTTAGCTAGACATGGTTGTAGGACCATGCTTCGCGATGAGGCCGCGAAAGATATCTTTTTTTCCGCGATGAATGGCCATTCCAGGATGAAATAATATTGATCAACCACCCATATAGTAATTTCAATTTTACAATAAATATATATGAGCCACGGTCAAAACATGCGAAGACCACTTTAGTAAAGAGGTGTAGGTTTGTGCACAAAACCCTGCAAAACGATAAGGTCCACCTCAAAACCGATAACCCCAGCGCTGTATATGGTCATAAGTATGCAAGAACTCAAAACGCTGTAAAACGATAAGGTCCACCTCAAAACCGATGACGTCCATCTTTTAGCTGAAGAAGAATAAGGAGTTTTGACCGTCCCTCATATAATAAATCAATAAACAAAATATATATTTTAAAAATACATTCTAATTATAGGAAATTCTAAGGAAACATATCGATTGAAAATGAAACGATGTAATATTACTAGGAATATATTTATATTTAAAATTTAAGGAAAAATTAATTTTGATATAGTTTGGTAATATTTAGATTATTAGTAATATATATATATATAATATATTTATATTTATTACTTTTATTACGGATTGGGGTGCGATTGAATAAAAAACGTTTTTTTGATTTTTTTTAAATAATTGATTTATGATTTCCGTCGCGGTTTGGATTTATTTTTCCGAAATAATTGAATTATTTTATTTTTTCGATTCTTAAATATGAAAGAATATTCTAATTATGTTTGTAAATTGTTTTCGTTTTGGGGCGTGTAATATTAAGTAATATCATTATATTTAGGTGTCGTTGGTCGCGGATTTGAATTTCGTAGGGTTTATTATAGTTAATATTGATTTATTTCTTTTTGTTCGTAATGATTGATTTTTGGATTTATATTTTTATTTTATATTAAAATGGATGTGCGTGTTAATGTTTGCCGTTATAACATTTGGATGATCGGAGGGAATAAGGTTTTATTGTAATATTTCATCTTTAATAATTATATGCGTAAATACGTTATAGATTTAATATTTCTATTTGATGATTTGGTAGAATATATTTGGGTAGTAAAATTATTTAATAGAAGTTTAATAAATTTATATATTAAAAAACAATATATATATTTATTTATTTATTTTCCTTCCATCTTTGTGTGGGGTTTTAGTTTTGTTGGTTGCTATTTCGCCTGATTTTTTGTTTTCCTCGTCTTCTTCGACTTCTTTTTCTTTTTCCTCGTCTTTTCTTACATCTTATACACATATACTTTATTCATTTATTTACTCTACACTTACACTTCTAGGCGTTTATAGAGATTTCGTCACTCACTTACTTATTCACTTATGTATACTATTCATTCACTATTCATTCACTCATTGACTCCGGCTTTCTCCGTAGTGTTTAGGGATTGTAGAAGGACCTCCGGCGTGCGTGGTCGTCGCTGGACCCCCGGCGGTTCTGTGCGTTATTGCCATTGTGATTTGCAAAGCGATGGTTGG